TTTTTTTTTTTTTTTTTTTTTTTTTTTGTACTGGGGATTGAACTCAGGTGCTTCTGCTTACAAGGCAGGCAGCAGAACCACTGAGCTAAACCCTGGCCCTTGATTCAATGCTTTTTAAAAAATCAGTATTGAAGATACAACCCAGGGCCTCAGAAATATTCTTTTTGTTTGCACCCAACTGAAACCACCATTAATACACTTGGTGAGTTTATGTCACATTCTCTTTAGACACAATCCAAGTAGCCGATGGTTTTGTTGTTTTCTTTTTTCCTTCCTGCTCAAATAAGGAATATGAAATGCTGTAGTACTTTAATTTGGTTAGTACTAGAAGCAGAAGAAATCCATGAAAGCCGAGTTGATTTGTTCTACCCATAACCCACCTCTTATGTTCTGGGAACAATACATGATGTTTTGAAAGGGTTCTGATACATATCTTGTAGTAACCTCCATCTCCCACTTCTTCACTTCCTTACTCCCACTTCCACGTCCTCACTACAGCCTCCACTCACGTGTGCTGTTTTTCACCAGGCAATGCCTATCCTGTCAGATCTCTTCCTGTCTATTCTTGGGGCCTCTGGAAAGTTCTGTGGATTTTTACTGGGTCTTTATATTTGTGCAGCATGTATTTTGTTACACAGTTTTATAAGCATTGATATTAAGGGTATGCACCTGTATGGGTGAAAATCTGGCAGAGCACGTGAATATATGTACAGATGAGTGTGAACATGGTTAGTATGGAAATGTTGGTATATTCTGTTGCAGCTCAGAGTTACACCATTCCCTTCTACATTTGGGAAACAGTAGTGGCGCTTTTTAACTCAAACTTTAGCTGGCTTCGCTCATCACTGCCAGGTAGCCAGTAGAGAGGGGAGATAGAAAACGTTAGGAGTAATTCTGAGCTCTGGGTTCTGGCTGTGTTCATCAGGGGACCAGTTGGCATTGACCTGTGCACGTACATAAACTAATGGAGAAAAACGACATTATAGAGATCTGAAACAAAGATCTTACATTTGTTGTATTTTGTCCTCTCTTTGGCTTAGAATAAATAAAATTATGAGTAATCCTGTCCCTATTAGATAAGCAAACCATTTTGGTCTCGGTAGCTTTCTTCTGAAAAATGTAACTGAATCTTACCAGTGGCAGGCAGTTCACATGTAGATCAAAAGAACTGTAGTTACAGGTAAATCCCATTCACTGTTCTGTTATTGTTGGTTGGTGTGACATTTGAAAATAGGTGTAAACCATATTTGTAAATAAAGAACTAGTTGTAAGTCTTGGAATATATTCAAATGTTCCCAGAGACTAGCCTCTTGGCTTGGTAATGCAGTCTTTCTTCCTAGCAGCTTCCAGGGATGGGAAGAGCCAGGGATCATATCTAATTTGTTTTGTGTCACCAGCCCTTGGCGCAGTGTCTGACCTGTGTTACATGAGTAAATGAACGTTTGCCAAGATCTCTTCCTCCCTCAAGTTTCTGAGAAACCTTTTAATGGTTCTTGAAACTGTGCCTACTCCTCATCAGCTGGTTGGCAAGAAAGCTAGTAAGGGCAAACATGCCAGAGGTTCTGAGCAAGAGGAGGAGTGGAGGAATTTGTGGGGAGCGGTATAGTATGCCATGTACTACCCAGGTTTTTGCTCTCTTGATTGCCTGCTGGTAGGAGGGAAGAGCATTATGCATTTAGCACCTTACGTATCTGATGCTCAGGAAGAAAGTCTAAAGAGATGCCTATCAGAGCATCAAAGGCTCCTAAGAGTTTTTGAAATGGCTAAGGTGAGCAGCCCCACCCTCACATGCACACAGCTGTTGGTGTTAATGTGTCTCAGCTGCTGCATGGAAAGCACTGTCTATTTCTCAGTTATCAACCTGCAGCACCTCCCCTGAACTTTACCTACTTAAATTGCTGCCTGATACCCAACTTACTGAAAGGCAAGCTGCAAGGGAACCAGAGATAGGAGAAGAAAGAACACTCGTATTCCCTTAGAAAAAATAAGGCCATTCTTAAGAAAAAAGTTATGATTCCTTTGGCACGTTGAACTATTTATATCTTTTGAGATGTAAAGAAGATTCCTGTTAACCAAAGAAGGTGGTAGTGGTTATTCCCCAGTACCTAAAAACGTCTTTTTGTGTCACAATTGCAAGTCATTTCTGTGCTGTTTGTTTTCCTTCCAGAGAATGGCTTCATCTTCCAAAAAAGATGATGATTTTAGAAGTGCGGTTTCCTAACAGATTATAGGTAGAGAGGGGTAGTGAGGATTTTATGTATTCAGCCTCTGAGCTCTTCATTGAGTATTACATTTTAAGAACAAAGACCAGGGGAGGACAGGAGGTAGCAGCCAAGTATGTAGAGCAGCCAAAAGACATTAGTGAGTATTCAGACTTGAGCTGTGTAAATATCCAACATCAGCTTCCAGCCTTATGAGTTATTTGAACAGTTAAGGAGAAAATGGAGATTTTGTGAATAAAATGTTTTGCCAAACTGAATGAGTCTTTTCACCATCATTTCTTACAAAGAACCATTTTTTACCTTCTGAAACAACTCAGCAGACATCTGGTTTTCATCCTGGATTGTACAATCATTGTTTCTTAATAAAAGTGATAAATTTCCTGCAGGTGTTCCAATCACCATTACCTTTCAAATGCCTGTGTGCAATTTCAAAAGCTCTCCACTTTTTACCTTGTATAGTGGTGGAACATTTTACTGCAAACCATTGTTAGCAGCCTGTCTTCCTAATGCCTCACAGCTGGATCAATAAAAGGTTACTTCTCAGACTACAGTTTATTTCTGCTCCAGAAACTTCAAGTGGGTCAGCCTGCATTTGGAAGTTCTAAGTGGTCCGTGTAAGTTTCCTGCAAAATCTCTCCAAACCTCTTTGCCTTAATAGAAAGACATTTACTTCCACAAGGCCGCAGTGGCCAGCTCTCTTTGTCTATTTTAATATGATATTTTTACATAAACCTTAACACAAAACCACTGTGAAAACACTTTGTAAGACCCAGCCTATTTTCAGTCATCTCATGCAGTAGCCCCTGTGTACAGAATGCAAAAAGAAAAAAACCAAAGCCTTTTGCACTAAACGTAATATAATTAAAATTCATTTCTTTAAAACTTGCAGTGCACTTTTATTAGAAGGATGATGCTAGATGTTAAATAGCCCTGAGCCTGTGATTATAAACTGGAATAGTTTTAGCTTTTGAAGCTCCTTCACTTTTTTTTTTTTAAGGTCTTGCTATGAAGTTCAGGCTCACCTTGAACTCACTATAAACCCCAGGCTGGCCTCGAACTTGTGGTATGTGCTGCTACGCCCAGCTTCCCCTTTACTCCTTTTTTGTCCCCCTTTACTCTTAAATCATAGGCATGTTGAACTCTAAAATGTTAGGAGCTGCAAGCCCCCCAAAAGGTAAAGAACCCTTTGGGAAATTAAATTAGTTCAACTCCTTGGCATCCTGTATAAACTCATGAGTGGAGTGGACTTCCGCACTGTACCCCATGATCCTGGTCAGCAAGAAAACACAGTTTTAGCTAATGCATAGTTTCACCACCCAGAATGCCACTCATAAGCTTGTAGGTGGATGTCAGCAAAGATCTAGTTTCTCTGTCCCCGACTTACAGTCAGTATTTCAAGCAACATTAAAAATGAATGCCGACCAATGAATTGTGCGTTCATGTCAAAAATTCTCTTAAAGAAAAACAACCACATCTGGCTATGCAAGTATTTGTTAATAATCAAAGCTTTTCAGTGATGTTCTTTATCTGCAAACTAATAAAATTAAGTTATTTTAATGCCCAGTTGTTTCTTAACCACTTCCAGGAACTAGCATATGGCTGTGTTATTACATGTGATTCCATGATGCACACATGTATTCTAAAGCTAAGTACGCTTACGATTATAATTGCTGGAATTTATTATTTCCTATAATAGCTTTGAATGGCATTTAGTACATAAACACACTGCTTTCACGAAGGCTGTATATCTGTATCTGTTTCCTAGAATCTTTAACACTGATAAAATGACTTTTTTCTAACAATTGAATGGAATGATATAGTAATAAATATATTTACCATGTGAAGCACTAATTTACAGCAACTTATTTAACCCTCGTAACAAATTATTGACATAAGAGAATTATCCCCATTTTACAGATAAGAAAAATGAGGCAGAGAGGAGCTACCTCATTTGCCTCAGCTATTCATATGTGTTGGAGCTAGGATCTGAACCCTTGAAGACTGATTCTAGAATCTGTACTTCTTAATTGCTGCATCGTGCTGCCCCTAAAATCTCAGTAAGAAGGCCATACCATCTGTACTTTCTGTGTCCCTGTTTGGTGTAGGTCTCTATATGGTAAATGTCACCAGCTAGTCTTGGACTTGTCTTCTTACTATGTTGACACATATCAGAATCCATACTCTATTTCATATCTAAGAGATTATGATCTGTTATATAGGACTAGTAAGAGAACAAAACCTAGAACACTGCAATAGTCTGGTTCTTAAATGTTCAGATCAAATCATACCCATTTTTCCTGGTACCCGAATCATACAACTTTCAGGTTAATCAACACTATCAAATATACAGCATTACATAAAGTAATTAAATCATAAAGTCTTTGTCAATTATTTGCTTAAGTGGTTGTAATTTACAGAATATTTAATGTATGTGTTAACTGTTTCTTAGTTTCTCCAAGATCTGGGCCAGCATGCATTTTAAATTTTATTAT